CCACCTATGCGCAACAATGCCATTCTCCCCTACATATACAGCTGGAGCCATGGGTCTCTCCCTATGTGCTCCCAGGCTGGTGGTTTAGACCCTGGGAGCTCTGGTTGGTTGGTATTGTTGCTCTCCCCATGGGACTGCAAACTCTTTCAGCTCCTTCAGTCTTCTCTCTAACTCCTCCATTGGGAACACCATGATCAGTTCAGTGATTAGCTGTGAGCATCCACCTCTGTATATGTCAGGTTCTATCAGACCTCTAAGGAGACCGCTATATCAGGCTCATGTCAGCATGCACTTCCTGGCATCCACATCAGTGTTTGCCTTTGGTGACTGCACATGGGATGGATGGATACCCAGAAGGACCAGTCTCCAGACAACCCCTCCTTCAGTTTCTGTCCCATGTTTTTGTCTCCATATTTGCTCCCTTGAACATTTTGTTACTCCTTCTAAGAAGAACCGAAGTACCCACACTTTGGTCTTCCTTCTTCGTGAGTTTCATGTGGTCTAGGGGTTATATATAGGGTACTGAGAGCTTTGGGGCAAATATCCAATTATCAGTGAGTGCATATGATGTGTGTTCTTTTGTGATTGGGTTACCTCACTCGGGATATTTTGTAGTTCCATTTGCCTAAGAATTTCTCAAATTCATTGTTTTTAACAGCTGAGTAGTATTCTATTGTGTAAATGTATCACATTTTCTGGATCCATTCTTCTGTTGAAGGACATCTAGGTTCTTTCCAACTTCGGACTATCATAAATAAGGCTGCTATGAACATAGTGGAGCATATGTCCTTGTTATGTGTTGGAGCATCTTCTGGGTATATGCCCAGGAGTGGTATAGCTGGGTCCTCAGGTAATGATATGTCCAGTTTTCTGCGGAACTGCCAGACTCATTTCCAGAGTAGTTGCACCATCTTGCAATCCCACCAACAGTGGAGGAGTGTTCCTCTTTCTCCACATCCTCGCCAGCATCTACTATCACCAGAGTTTTTGATCTTGGCCATTCTGACTGGTGTGAGATGGAATCTCAGGGTTGTTTTGATTTGCATTTCCCTGATGTCTAAAGGTGTTGAACATTTCTTTAGGTGCTTCTCGGCCATTCGAGTTTCCTCAGTTGAGAATTCTTTGTTTAGCTCTGTACTCCATTTTTTAATAGGGTTATTTGGTTGTCTGGAGTCTAATTTCTTGAGTTCTTTGTATATATTGGATATTAGCCCTCTATCAGATGTGGGATTGGTAAAGATCTTTTCCCAATATGTTGGTTGCCATTTTGTCCTATTGACAGTGTCCTTTGCCTTACAGAAGATTTGGAATGTTATGAGGTCCATTTGTCAATTCTTGATCTTAGAGCATAAACCATTGGTGTTCTGTTCAAGAACTTTTCCCCTATACCTAGGTATTTGAGAGTCTTGCCCACCTTCTCTTCTGTTAGTTTCAGTGTATCTGGTTTTATGTGAAGTCCTTTATCTACTTGGACTTAAACTTTGTACAAGGAGATAAGAATGGATCTATTTTCATTCTTCTATGTGTTGTCCTCCAGTTGAACCAGCACCATTTGTTGAAAATGCTGTCCTTTTTCCATTGGACAGTTTTAGCTCCTTTGTCAAAGATCAAGTGACCATAGGAGTGTGGGTTCATTTCTGGGTCTTCAGTTCCACTCCATTGATCTTCCTGCCTATCTCTATACCAACACCATGCAGTTTTTTTTTTGTTTGTTTGTTTTTTGTTTTTTTTTTTAATTTTTTTATTGGATGTTTTATTTACATTTCATATGTTGTCCTCTTACCCCATCCCCCACCCACCCAGGAACCCCCAATCCCCTCACACCTCCTTCTTCTTCTTTGTGGATGTAACCTCTATCTACCCCCCCACTCCCACCTCCCCACCCTCACAACTCCCACCCCCTGGGGCGTCCAGCCTTCATGAGGTCAAGGATCTCATCTTCCACCTGTGCCCAGCAGGGCCCTCCACTCTTATATATTCAGCTAAGGCCCTGGATCCCTCCATAAGTGCTCCCAGGCTGGTGGTTTAGACCCTGGGAGCTGTGGTTGGTTGGTATTGTTGCTCTCCTCATGGGGCCACAAATCCTTTCAGCTCCTTCAGTCTTCACTCTAACTCCTCCATTGAGAACCCCATGATCACTTCAATGGCTAGTTGTGAGCATCTGCCTCTGAATATGTCAGACTCTTGAAGACCTCTGAGGAGACATCCATATCAGTCTCTTATCAGCAAATGGTGCTGGTTCAACTGGAGGACAACATGTAGAAGAATGAAAATTGATCCATTCTTATCCCCTTGTACAAAGCTCAAATCTAAGTGGATAAAGGACCTCCACATAAAACCAGATACACTGAAACTAATAGAAGAGAAGGTGGGGAAAAGCCTCGAATACTTGGGCACAGGGGAAAAGTTCCTGAACAGAACACCATGCAGTTTTTATCACTATTGTTCTGTAGTACAGCTTTAGGTCAGGGATGGTGATTCCCCCAGAAGTTCTTTTATTGTTGAGAATAGTTTTTGCTGTCCTGGGTTTTTGTTATTCCAAATGAATTTGAGAATTTCTCTTTCTTACTCTCTGAAGAATTGAGTTAGGATTTTAATGGGGATTGCATTGAATCTGTAGATTGCTTTCGGCAAGATGGCCATTTATACTATATTAATCCTGCCAATCCATGAGCATGGGAGAACTTTCCATCTTCTGAGATCTTTCTTCGATTTCTTTCTTCAGAGACTCGAAGTTCCAAATTAATAAAATTAGAACTGAAAAGGGAAACATAACTACAGAAACTGAGGAAATTCAAAAAAATCATCAGATCCTACTACAAAAGGCTATACTCAACAAAACTGGAAAATCTGGATGAAACATACAATTTTCTAGACAGATACCAGGTACCAAAGTTAAATCAGGAGCAGATAAACCACTTAAATAGTCCCATAACCTCTAAAGAAATTGCAGCACTCCTTAAAAGTCTCCCTACCAAAAAAAGCCCAGGACCAGATGGTTTTAGTGCAGAATTCTATCAGATCTTTGAGTTTGATACCAATTCCCTTCAAACTATTCCACAAAATAGAAACAGAAGGTACATTACCCAATTCATTCTATGAAGCCACAATTACGCTCATACCTAAACCACACAAAGACCCAACAAAGAAAGAGAAATTCAGACCAATTTCCCTTATGAACATCGATGCAAAAATACTCAATAACATTCTCGCAAACCAAATCCAAGAACACATCAAAACAATCATCCATCATGATCAAGTAGACTTTATCCAGGAATACAGGGTTGGTTCAGTATATGGAAATCCATCAATGTAATCCACTATATAAACAAACTCAAAGAAAAAAAAACACATGATCATATCACTAGATGCTTAGAAAGCATTTGACAAAATTCAACATCGCTTCATGATAAAAGTCTTGGAAAGATCAGGAATTCAAGGCCCATACCTAAATGTAGTAAAAGCTATATACAGCAAACCAGTAGCCAACACCAAACTAGAGAGAAACTTGAACCAATCCCACTAAAATCAGGGACTAGACAAGGCTGCCCACTCTCTTCCTACCTATTCAATATAGTACTCAAAGTCCTAGCCAGAGCAATTAGACAACAAAAAGAAGTCAAAGGGATACAAATAGGAAAGGAAGAAGTCAAAATATCGCTATTTGCAGATGATATGATAGTATACTTAAGTGACCCCCAAACTTCCACCAGAGAACTCCTAAACCTGATAAACAACTTCAGCAAAGTGGCTGGTTATAAAATCAACTCAAACAAATCAGTAGCCTTCCTCTACATGAAAGATAAACAGACTGAGAAAGAAATTAGGGAAATGACACCCTTCACAATAGTCACAAATAATATAAAATACCTTGGTGTGAATCTAACCAAGCAAGTGAAAGAACTGTATGACAAGATGCTTATATTTTTAACCCCTCCCCCAAAGTATCATATTGAGAAAATAGAGAAGATGAAATGGGGAACTGATAAAAGAAAATCAAAGTAGTGAAAACGAGGGATTGAGAGGCTTTTTGGAAAAGGTAAATTTTTGATGTTCATTCAAAGGACTACCAAAATGAATAGTGGAATAGATGTGCATAGGAAGCCCCTGTGTGTGTGCACAAAGTGGCAGAATTGTCAGGAGCAGTACCACCACATGTCTTTAAGGATGCTTATGTTAAAAACTTTTTGGGTGTAGAATTTTGAAATCAAGTCGAATTGGATATGGCTTATTAGCACTTAGTGACTCAGGGTTGTTCTGTGTTACAGTCCCTTAACTCTTGATTGCTTTTCTTTTCTGGTAATTTGGAAGAGTGTAAATTGGTGAATAAAAAATGTAACTATTTAACTATTCTATGCTTTCTTAACTATAATTATTTAGTTTCTGCTTATAAATAAGCAATAATTAAGAAATCAAAATGCCTTTAGATAGTTTTCATGTGTGTGTATGTGTGTGTGTGTTGGGAGCCGACTCTGAGCAGAAAGCGGCTATCATCTTTGCAGCCATCTTGAGCCATATAGCCTGACAAGAGACTTGTTTTCAACAGCCTACAACAGCTGAGCACACTCTGATAATTATCTTGCTTTTCTTACATATCTTGTTTTGTTGTTTATTGCCCCCAGCTGCAGTGTGCATGTGGTAAAGTGTCTTCAGCTGTGTTCCCCTGCTTGTGCTTATATATACCCATGATTTCCTTTCAATAAAGGCGAGACTTGAAGAAGAGAATAGATCAGACTCCCTGTCTTGTCACCATTCTTCTCCATTCTTTGCGTCTCCATCCCCACTCTCTCTCTTGCTAGGCCCTGACCCGCAGACTGGAGCAGCAGAACGGGCTGTTTACGTGTGTGTGTGTGTGTGTGTGTTTGTTTGTTTGTGTGTGTATGTTTATTATGTATGTGTGGACCTTGTTAAGTAAAGCCTGCTTGTAATGTTCCTGATTCTAGAACATTTTAGATTTCCTAATCTTTTGTTTTTTATTTCTATTTGTACTTTTATTGCAGGTGGGAACAGAGAAAAGATCCTCATGGTAGAACCTATTATGTGGATCATAATACTAGAACTACTACATGGGAAAGACCACAACCTTTGCCTCCAGGGTAATGCAGCATTCTTATGTATCTTTAATTATATTTTTATTGTGTGTAAGTTTTAAATTTATTTGGTATACTATCATGAATAATGATTTAAAAATAATCTCTTTATAATTCTTGGATAGTGGTTCTGGTGAAATAAACTTTATATTATAGTTCTCTTTGGATTAAATGCATGACTGTAACATAGTGCACCTGCTTATTTAAAATGAGCCTTAGGATGTGCTATATTGAAATACCACATCTATGTTTTCCAGTGATAAGTTCTCAATACCCTAGGAATAAATGCTGAGCTCTTTCTTAAACAATTTTCACAGTGATCTGAAGAGCCAGGGGTTCAAGTGTCAAAGGCTTATGGAAATATATTCCAAGCATAGGGAGAGTGTTTGAATTGAATTCAATATTATAATTCAACTTGCTGTCGATGCATTGTGTAAAAAATTATTTTAAAAATCAAAGGAATCAGTTTATTATTGGCTCTGAGTAATATCAGGAACTTTATTTAGTCTGTTTTTTAAAACTATAATTTTTGATATGATGGCATATGACCTTACATGTAACAAAGTTTGTATCTTAATTTTGTAACAGTCTTAATACCACTTACATACCTTAAATCTCATGAAATCTAATAATGTACATCATTATTTATGGAGAATCACACATATTTTTGTGGAAACCTATTATATTTTTAACAGTAACTTTGGAAGAATTCCGAATTGATTCCTGAAAAGATTCTTAGATAGTCGTAGTATAAAGTTAATGTCAAACACTGGCTTAATAGATTCCAGGTGTTGAAAAATTACAACTAATGAACAGAATGTGGAGCCTGAGTAGAATTCTTGTTAAAAGATGCAGAACAGGGCATCTGACCTTCTGAAGTTAAAAGAATGGCATGGGGGAATGACACACATGGTACTAGGAAATGAAACTGAAATGGTGAATGCTTCTTCTGTAGACATGTCTGAAAGCTGTTTCTCAAGAAGAAACAAGGTATAAGTCTGTCTGTGATAGAAGAGTAAGGTAGTTTAGGAAAAATAAATGCTTCATAGATCCATATGCTGTGTTTAACCATAAAAACATAAGCAGACTTTATGGCACAGTTGTCAGGAGATAATTCATTACTTCATTTTTATTCCTTATTTATTGTAGTTGGGAAAGGAGAGTTGATGATCGTGGAAGAGTTTATTATGTGGATCATAACACCAGAACAACAACCTGGCAGCGACCTACCATGGAATCTGTTCGAAATTTTGAACAGTGGCAGTCTCAGCGGAATCAATTGCAGGGAGCTATGCAACAATTCAACCAACGATACCTCTATTCGGTAATCAGCAAATTAGATGGTGTTAATGTGTTGAGTGAGATATCTATGACGGCTGCATTCAGTCTGACTTTTCTTAATCAGCTGCCATGTTCCTGACTAGCGTAGGCCTGTGACCACGGGAGCGGCAGCTGCATACTGCTACGGCTCGGATCAGGCTGTCCACTCAGGTGGCCAGAGACACTGGCCCTGCTACCCACAAGACCCCAGTGTAGGAGATGGCTCTGCCAATCTTCCACACTGTCTCCACAAGGTTGGGCTGAGCCCAGACCATCCCGCCATCCACCCGGTACCCAGTATAAAATGACACTCTAAGACTTAATGATTAAACAAAGGCTTTATATGTTTGGTAATGCTCAATAAACAAGATGCTCACACAATTAGAGGCGTTTCCCAGTTAACTAACCTAGATATAAGTTGTTACCCAGGACTGCTCCAGGTACATGAGAGGCCATCCATGGCGCCTGCTACATCTCTCCTTACTCCTCCCACCTTAGCTCCTCCCAACTTGAAGGAATTTCCCGCTACATTAATGTCATCTTTTTCTTTCTTTGGTAGCTTTCTAAAATATGTAAACTACATATCAAGGGTTTGTTTGTTTGCTTCATTTTATTTTGGTAATCTTTAATATTATTTCTAGTTTGTATAAATAAATAAGCATTCCTGAAATTTTCGGTTTTGGAATATTTTAGATTTTGGATTTGGATGCTCATCCTGTATATAGTAAATAAGAAAGTTTGTACTATGAGATTTGTTTTGTTCTGTGTAGGACTTTGTGTGCATGAAAATTTGGAGACAAGAAAAAATTAGGTTTTGGGTATGTGTCAAAACACTTTCTGCTATCCTCTTCAATGGATGCAAGTTTAGTTACCAATAGAATCCCCAGAGCTGGGATAAGAACTAATCATTCTCTGGCTTATAGTGCCATCAAGCAGCTGAGTTCTGTCTTTTAGGACATCCTCTTACCTGGACCTTACCAGCACCTTCTGTTGTCATGCCCCTTACCTGCACCTTCTGTTGTCATG